AATCAGTGGAAGAGGTCAAACAAGCCGTCCACTCTTTCATCCGCGGTCAGCTGAAAGACTTCCACGCACGAGGCATCCAAAAGCTGTTCTCTTAGTCTTAGTCTCAGTATCAGACTTGCTTGGATCGAGCTGGTTATGTGGAGAAGTGAGGTAAGCCCCTTATTCTACAAAAATTTCTTTGATTTTTCGTCAGTGATGAACGACTAAGGCTTTGGCAGAGAAGCTCTTCTCCTGTAGCGGACTTCAAATCCTCGCGGATTTGGCGGGAGCGTCGAGCACCTCGGCGCGTTCAAACGGCTCGCGTTCGACCGCACATGGTCCGATTTTGTTGCGGTTTGTTTCGTTGAACTCAAAATATCCTAAGGAAGATTTTGAGCCCAAGTTTTTTTAAAATTGGTCCATTCTTATGGATTTTAGAGAGGGGGGATACTTACTTATTGAACGCCCCTCGTAGTTTTGAGGCGCTGCGCGCAGCAAAATGATAGCATTTGACAGTTTTTGATCAACCTCAAAACAGGCCCTCCGGGTCATCTCTGGGTCAAAAGTGGAATTTTCTCATTCAAAATATGCCTCTGGACGACTTCTCAAGAGATGGTTAGGTTTAAAATCATTTTGGCGCATTTTACGACCGAAAAACGTAGTTCCGCGAATCTGCCTATTTTCTCCCCATTTAAACCAATGTAATTGCTCCCAAAATTTCCATCGCTTTGGGGGAAAGTGTAGACTTCAGCTATGGTGCTGAAACTTCATAATTGTCTTTTGGGGACCAAAAGGAATGGGAAAAAGCCCGGGGAGCAAGGTTTTGAGATGGTTGCCTAAAAACGGAACACCCTACAGCAAAGGACTTATAACTATAGGAGTGTCAAAATTAGTTAGGATTCCGTAGGTGGTTGAATTCGTAGAGGATTCAAAGGGGGTGGCATGTTCGCCATGGTTACAGCGAGAAAGAGAATAGAGAAAGTACCTTTTTTCTTGATTATTTTTTAATGGACCACTAGACAGGGTACGAATTTAAGCATTCTAATACATGTTTTTAAACCAAAATTTCATGTAGAATACGATACACGCAACAAAAGTTATTGAAACCAACTCTTCACGAAGATATTAACTTTTTTATTCCACATCAGTTACGAGGAATTTGAACTGGCCGCTCACAAGAAACTCAAAGCTCTACGTGAGTCAAATCGCGCACTACAACGGTTTCAGCAAGCTTCTCAATCGAGCAATGTTCATTTTACACCATGTGTTGTTCAAACTATAAGCAATTTGCTATAGCTGAGCCAAAGCGTCAGGACTAAGGTTGCCAGATTAATATATCCCTGAGACTTTGATGATAACGTTTAGCGCGCGATGTGAATCACGTAGAGCATTGAGTTTTCATGAGCGGGTGGTTTCAATTCACGCATCAAGAATCATCAAATATCTTCGTAAGGAGTTAATTTCGGTAATTTTCGTTGTGCGTATCGTGTTATAAGTGAAATTTTGGTCAGGAAACATGTATCAGAATGCTGAAATTCGTACCTTGTCTAGTGGTCCATTGTTGCTGGTGTCTAACTGTTCTACCTACGTAATTTGACGACTTGTAATGACAATTGATGATTTGATGATTTGTTAAAATACGATGTGACTTCTTTGAAAGTCGATTGCATTATTTCTTATTATTCATATTTTATCGTCTCATTGCTGCTTAAGGTTTGATGCAAAGGAGAACCTCATATTTTTTTAATAAAACATGGAGAAACACGAGTTCATGCGGACAATCGTTGAGGCTCTACAGTAGGACTCCAGAGCTGTGATTCGAAACATTGTGATTTTAAAAAAAAAGATATTTTTAAGGACTATCGGTAAATTCTAAGTTCAATGACCCCCAAAAACCCCTGAAAAGGGCCTTATTCAAAATCTGCCATTTATAACCATGGCCTGGTCTTCGAAGGAGTTCCAGGATTGATAAATGATCACTCCCTGTGTCCAAAATACTGCCGATTTATGAGATCAGACAGTTCGTGGGTGGGGAGGGTCAAAGTTGAAGCTTTAAACTGACATATCTCGAGAACAGTTTGTTGTAGAGATGATCTTGGTCTCAAAATTTAGAGAATACCGTCAACTTGGAAGTGCTGTAGAGTGGGACTTCTTTTTTAAATCAACCAAACCGAATGTTGCACGGTCTTAAATGGCTCTATGTGATAAAAAGAAAAAACACGGTAATTAAAAGGATTTTGAAAAAACCAATTAAACCCGGCCCGCACAGAGCCTAAAGACCGTTATTTTACCGATTTTTTGGCATTTTAACCATCTTTTTTGATATTTTAGTTAGTGGCAGGGATCCGGCGCTAGGTATTCAAAGATTGGTACAAACCTGGCACATACCTTGTAGTCTCACATGACGCTCGCTGCATCAACTTTAATAAATCATAACTCTGCTCCAACTCGTTTTTTTAGGTTGGGCTTAAATTTTTCAAGAGGCTCAGACTTTACACTTTGGTAAACATTTCCTCTTTTTCTCTCTCGAAAAGATCTGTTAGGTATTAAGTCACGAAGAAAATTCTGATAAATTGAACATTCCTGGCCACAATCCAATTTGGGAGTACAAACTGTGGATGACAATTGCAAAATGGACTATTTACGTTAGTTGAAATTGAAAATTAATGGTAACCGAATTTTAAGACAATCATTATTTCTACACGGAAGAGACACATCAATGTTTTTATGATTGAAACTTTGAACTCCTGTATCCATTGCATAATGTTTATTTGTTCGGATCTTGTCATTTTTATCGAAAAATTTTGTGTAGAAAAGACCTAAAGACGTCTAAAAATGCAAAACATCGCGACTCTTAGTCAGTTTGGGGCCATGAATCTTGGGACTCGGGACATATCAGGTCCTTGCATACTGCATCAACTTTGATAAATTATAACTCCGCTCTAAATTGTTCCCCCAGGATGAACTTGTGCTTTTTTTCAAGCTAAAACAGCCTCCTTTCAAGAAAAAATAGTTTTGTTATTTTTCGTGCAATTTCCTCAACGCCACAGCTAAAAATCTAAAAAATTGAAAATGTGAGCTGTGACAACTGGCAACAAGCCAATGATGGATGGAATTTTCAAAATGGACCAATTTCGTAAACAACATCTGAAATCTGACGGTTCCTTTCTAAAGTTTGAGACCAAGATAAACTCTCTACGACAAACCGTTCACGAGATATGCCAGTTTAAAGTTTTAACTTTGACCCTCCCCCCCTCGCCCCTAACTGTCCGATCTCCAAAATCGTCAGACTTGGGAAGTGATCCTCTATGAACCCTGAGAATATTTTGAAGATCAGACCGAGATTAAAAATAGCCGATTTTGAATAAGGTCCTTTCTTCTGCACGGTTTGAGAATCTCAATCTGATTTTATGCTACTCAAATTTAGCTTTGGAATAATTGTGCGTTATCGCATCCTATATGCGCATGCATACGCTGCAGCAATTTTGGTTGAAATGTAATTCATTTATTTTTCTGCATTATCGCAATCTATGCAGAGTTTTGAACAGGCTTTAGCTTACTTCGCGCGACTGCACAGATGCGCGTTCACTTCCGCTGTGTTCGGCAATACAGGCAATTAATCTGATTCACCTTTGATCGTCTGAGATATACAGACGATAAGATAATATTTGTAGCGTCCAGTTCACGCAGCTTTCCCACCAGACGCTGGTCGCCATGTTCTATCGCGCTAATCCGCGCTAAGTGAGGAAGCGCGGGACGCTGGTTGGCCAAGGTGCAGAGTGTCTGGCTCTGCCAATGAAGCTGCGTGAGCTGGAAACCACATGTCTGTGAACGCCCTCCCATAAATACCCGATAATTTGGTCGGAATAGTTGGGGACAAGAGGGAAAAAACACCTGAAAAAGGACATTTAATCGAGTTAAGCAAATGCTATTATTCTTGCAGTTCAAGTTAGGCCCAAATTGTGAACATTAGCTTTTGGGGAATGGGCCTGTTGCAAACTTTTGCTAGAGCAAAAATAAGAGTTGCTGAAATCAGTAATTGGCTCAAAAATCATGATGAGCCCATTGGCAAAGTTTGAAATGCACTCCGAGCTTCACGATCTGCGTAAGAAATCTGTGTATTTTTTTTTAGCTTCCCGCTTCACAAACGGTACTGCCGCACAGGTAAACATTTCGTTAGATGTACCATTCTATCCAACCCCTGTACACTAGGATACTTCACGATATTCAACATGGCCAACACCAATCCGCCAAAAGACATGCCCTTGGACGAGATTCTAACCATCTGTTAAGAACCCAGCGTGTTTAAATTCACGATGTCCTCACGTTGATAAAGGTCCGGTTTGGTTGACCTTGTGCTCTCGATTGCGATTTGCATGCAGGAGCGTCGGCTATGTTGGGTATTGGTATTAAGAAAGGGTTGAATGGAAAGACTCCTCTAACGAAATGTTAACTTGTGCTGAAGTATTTTTTTGAAGCGAAAGCTCAAAAAAAACGCAAATTTCTTACACAGATTGTGGAGTTAGAAGTGCATTTCAAACTTTACTAGTGCCCTCATCGTGATTTTTGAGACATTTACTAATAGCGACAATTCTTATTTTTGCTCTAGCAAATGTTTGCAACAGGCCCATTAGGCGGCACTTAACTTGGAGAGAATGGACTGTATCAGAGTAAAAGGTTTAAGAAAGGAGAAATTTATGGAGGTAGTTCAGAGACATGGATAATTTTCCTTATTGAGGAGAGTTTTAATCTCCCCTGGGAGGGCATTAAACATTCAGATGAGAACTTGACATGATGCATTCTTAGGGAAAGGAGAGTGCTATTGAGTCATAAAAGTTTTGGGCACTTTGGGAAGAAGATGGCACAGAATTTATGAATGGCACAGAGATGGGGGACATCTGAGAGCGATAGTAAAAACTATTATCGAATGTTGCTCCCTTATACAGTTGACCTTAATTCTAGATCAGTGATTGAAACAGGGCAAGCCGAATGAAAAGCCAGAACAAAAATATGCTCGCAAATAGACAGAAAATAATGACTTTAGCATTAAAAAAAAAAAGGTAATACCTCAACTGACAATTCAACGGCACGACTGTTTGGAGGATTCATAACTTTTTTCAGAAACGTTGCAACGTCTCCGACTTGCAATAACTTGGCGCTGAGAATGACTTCTTCCAACCTAGTACGCAACATCTCTGGAAGAGGGTACTGATCCAGGGTCATTGACCTAGCTCTTGTAAAAAGGTGATAGCAAACACCTTCTTGCACTCTGAAACATTAGAATAGGATAACTGAATTCTGATGGTAGAATAGAATGGATAGTCCTATTGTCCCAACCACTGGCCATAGCTCATGGTAATCAAAGCAAACAGTCGGAATTTTCCTAAAATCCTGAAAAAAAAATCATTCAGGTGCTATCCAAACCTCCGGTACATAAATCCGTTAAACTGAATGCAGTTCATACTTACGAATCGTTCAGCAAAGTTAAGGATTTATCTGCAAAAATGTCAAAAGGAAAAACATTTCATCCGTCTAGGGTGTCTGCTTTGAGAAGCTTTTCAGGGGCAAAATAATGTTAGATAAATGCAGTTCTGTCCTTAGTATTCTAGCTTTTACGCTGTTACACCTTTTAGTTCCGTCTTTAAGTAGTAAGTAGGTAAGTAATCTAAGTAATTCTCTGAGTAATCTTAAAATTTATTTCTTCTAATTGCAGTTTTTTGTAAATACAGCCCTTCTTCACTGGGCAAGGTCCCTCTGGTTGCAGTTAGAAATATGTTAATGAAACTTTGTTAGGAATAAAAAAAAGGTATCTCTGCTATTTAAAGCACCAGCCCTCATAGTGTCAGCGCTTGGGCATTGAAAAAAAACCTAGCCTCCTTGCATGTTTATTGCACAAAAAAGGGTATTCCAGGGTAAGGGCACCAAGATGCCTCTCCTCGCGGATTTTGGATTTAATGGTCGAAACCCTTTCAGGAGGTCTTTAAAACGTAAGTTTGGGCAAGTTTCACCTCCTAACCCAACCACCCCCCCCCCTCCTCCAGCCCCGAAAAACCCATTTTTCCGGGAACTGTGGGGTATTTTCACGTTTTATTTCATATCACCCGCGTTTTTCAACGAAAATGCCTCAAAATTTCACCGAATATACGTCAAACCAATCAAATTCTTGGGTAAAACAAATCAAATACCTAAATCGAATCATTTTTCGACCCCTGGAAAATTCGTAAAAATCGTAAAATTTCAATTTTTTTTCAGATTTTAGCGGTTTAAAAAAAAATGAGAACACATGCATCTTTTCTTTTGGCCTTAACATGTTCGTAACATGCCCATTTATTAAAAAAAAAAAAAAATTTCAAGCCTTCACGCATGGTGCTTCACACCGAGAAAATGTTTCGAGGGACAGTTTTACCTTCCTTAAAATACGGGGAGGGATCCAAAAAACCGGGATTTAGATGTAACTTGGCAATGGTGGAGATGTTTGGGGTTTTAACAATAGAGGGTGTAACTAGGAGCCCAGATGAGTCACTAGGCCAAATTTGCAATGTCACAGCACATTATGTTTTGTTTTAGCAGGCCCTCGCATAAGGGGTGTTCGGCGAGCTCATCATTATTAAGATGGGTGATTTTCAAAGGCAACACTCAGCCAACTCTGTTGATCCTTTGACTAAATCTTGCCTGGAACATGCTTCATCAATAAATTAAGAGGGCCAATGTCTTTTACAGCCCAAACAACAGCAGGGCTCCAAGCGCGAGCGGCCATCAACGGCTACAATGGCAAATAGGAGATCGATTCGGCAACAACATTGTAAGCCCATAGACACAGGAATGTTTTGAATATTTCTGTAAGACAACCCAGTGATATCTGCTAATTAGGTAAGTTTTTTTCACTGCAAACTTCACAATCATACTTCCTGTTCTTTTCGACGTTTAGGGATATTTTTGGTTATAAAATGTTCCAAAAATCTTCCTCTTTACTCTAATTTTAGCAACTAAGGTCCCTTTTTCTGCTGGGTCACAATTTATCGGTTAAATGTCTATGCATTTTTTGTGGGTCAAAATTTAGAAAATACAACTGCCACGAGCAAGTTAGATCACAAAAAACAAAAAGTGACATTGGTTACTTACCGACCAGCTCGGCCCCGCCTTTGGTGGGCATTTGCTTGGCTTACCCACTCAGCTTTCAGGGTAGCAATATTTTTTTCAACGTCAAAATTACTCATTTTAATTTTTCCGGCATCAATGACAAAAACAACATCATCAATCGTGATAGAGGTCTCAGCAATGTTGGTTGCAAGGATAATTTTTCTAACAACTGAAAAATATAAATTAAATTTTGGGCTTAAAAAAGACGAAAGATCCTCACTGTTGTGTAACTTGTAATTAAAATTAATGTATACAATTATTTACTATTTATTATTTCAACATTATCAAGTCATTCCAATTGATCATCACTTAACGTAATGTAACATATTAAACTCAATCTCAATCACAGAGAATGATGTTCTAAGCGTTATTTCGGAAATAGATTCGACATCTTCCCCAGGCTCTTATGAGATCCCCCCTCACTTTGTCAAATCCTGTGGGAGCTAACTTGCTAAGCCCCTCCTGACAATTTATAATGAGTAAATTACCTCTGGTGTATTCTCCAGAGCATGAAAGGGGAGCCTTATTGTTCCTGCATTCGATGATGGCAATAAATCTGATATAAGAAACTGTAGGCCCATTACTGTTCTTAATGTGTTTCCCAAGATTTTTGATTACGTAGTCAGCTATAAAATATCAAGACACATTTTCCCTCAAATAGCCCCTAAACAACATAGTTTCATGCCTGAGAGATCAATTGTTAGTTATCTTATGGTCCTTCTAGAACAAATCATCACCCGTCCGGCAACGGACAAAAATAACATTGCCACAACGTTGCTGCAACGTTGCCGCAACATTATTTTTGACAGTTACATTGTGACAACATTTCCGCAACTACTTCAGGCAACCACTTGCCGGGCGGGCAATTGTCTTATTTGTGATTCACCGACTCATGTCATAATGTCATATACCTCCATGTACAAATGGCTTTTGATACAGTAAACTTTTAATTGTTACTCAATAAACTCGAAGCTTTCGTAATGGATGGGGCTATTTATTGTCGCTTTCAATCCTACCTGGTCGGGAGAATGAAGAGAATTAGGATTAGGAACTTTTACTCATTTGTTATCCATATACTGTCTGGGGTGCAATAAGGCTCTCATCTTGCTGCTCTTTTGTTCCCAATTTTCATTAATGATATTGTTAAAGTAGTAAAATTTTCCAAATGTTTAATATTCACTGATGATTTTATACTGTCATCACACATTGTTTTAATTGTGGATATCTGGAGGATGGAATTTGACTTGAATAATGTTGTAAACTGGTTTTCCGTCAATGATTTAGTTGTTCATGTCAAGAAATTGAAAGATGTTATCTTCTCTAAATTCGATATCCCTTTTTATGACTACAAAATAAATGGAGCCTCCATACAACAATGCTCATCAATAAAGGATTTAGGTGAAATTGTTTACTCCAAATTGACTTCTATTCCTAAGGGGAAGGATGTATTGACAACATGTATTCATGTATGTATGGATGTATGAAGGAATACATGTTGAAAGGGTTCAACATGTATTCCTTAGAGCCTTGTCTTATCGCTCTGGCAATCCTACGTCCTTCTTTGACCATGATTTTAGGCCTGTTATGTTTGATTTTGATCTTTTAAGTGTTTTTAATTCCGGCCAGTGTCAAGAGTCGTTTTTCTTATTCAAACTCATTAACAACTTGATTGATTCTTCCGATCTTCTTTCTCATATTAGGTTTCGTGTGCCCGGTAGGGTTATACGGAATAATTCTGAATTTTTCTTTGTTCCCCTATCTCACCGGGGTTTCTATCATAGATCTGTTGTGGTGAGGTTGAGAAGGATGGATGATGAGCTTGGGAACACTGTCGATTTTTTAGATGTAACATTGGGGGTTTTCAAGTCGCTGATGAGAGACCACTTCAGGGGTGAAACTTAGGAGTGAAAAGTAAATTTATTTTGTTAATTCCTTTTTCTCATTTTATCATTTGTTCGAGTTTGTTCACATTTGTTTTTGTTTCCAATCTGCCATTCTTGTTTTGTTTTTATTGTTGTAGTTTTGTTAATGGACTTCATCTGTGTATTTTGTAAATAAATAAATAAATAAATAGATAAATAAATAAATAAATAAATAAATAAATAAATAAATAAACTTCTGGAGAGGAAGTTTTAGCCTTTTTGTTATAACATATGGACCGAGTTCACCAGAAAGGAACCCAACCCACATTAAGTGGAAACTGAGAAAAGAGGTTTGAGGCTTTGCTCCTGCATAAGGCTCATTGTAGAAAATAATCTTTAACCCTTCTCTTCACAAACTAATTTCTTTTTTTCGACTTTTAGTTTAAGGCAGGAGAAAATGTACGGCTAGTGGAACTCTAAAACATTCTTTACTCAATTTTTTCGGAAAATAGGGGCTAGCTCCTTTCTAATTAACTCTGTCCATATTTTTCTCATCTTTTTGAATGAAATGAATATTCTTTCCTTCATTTACGNGGGGGGGGGGGGGAACTCAAGAGTTTCAAAACTCATGCTGTCATTCTTCAGGAACTCTTTTTGTTATGGAGTCAAACAAGAAGTAATTTATAGTCACAATACCAAGTTTCAACCGTCTACAACTGCCTGTTACTTCACGGTGAACTTAGACAGCCCAAGCATGGATAGTGCTCGAGAGACATTTCACTCTTCTTGAATCGCAAGTGAGATTAAAGAAGTTGGGATCTACTTAATGCGTCATTCTTATACACAATTTTTAGCATATCAATCTTTAACAAGTTTTTGGTGGAGATTTAAGTACTGAGTAGGTAAAATAATTTGATAGCAACACGCTGCTAAAGCGGACGTGCCATTCCGGAGGGTGAAAAAAACATCACGAGCCATGGACAGCGCTTGAAGCAGCAAAAGCATATCCTTGCTTTGGGTTGAAACTTGGCCGACTAACTCCAAAAAATCTCTTGCATGAAGATCTTAGCACGAAAGTTTTGAGCTATTGTACTAATTGAACTGGCAGTCTCCTACGAAAAAAAAAAGGGGGAAAAAAGGAGAGAAATTATTGCTGAAGATCTTGCTAACCACATTCCTAAAATAGAAGAATTTTTGGATCTTTTATAATAGGGAGTTTACCAACTTACACTTAGGTGGTTTCTGGAATGCAGCTTTCTGAGTATGTGTTGGGATCATGGAATGCAAAACATGGATTTGAGCTCTTGCTGTGAAAAAAAATGATGAGAGATTAAAGCAATATACAGCTTAAATAAACTCTGCATGCTAAACTAAGAAAATTAATTTTGTATGCTTTCTTAAATTTTATAATGATGGTAAAGTCTCAACTGCATCAAACACCAATAATTTGTCTGCCAATATTGCTGTTCCTTCAGAAAGCTAGTCAGCCAAAGGCTCTTGCCCCCAAAGCTCCTAAGTCTCAACAATACAACAACAACAACTTACAACAACAACAACTTACAACAACAACATAACAACAAACAACTTTCCTTCTGATTAGCTACTCAATTTCTGAGCCTGAAGTCCTAAAAGTACTGAGTCAACTAAGGCAATTATATGAAAAATTAAGAGATGCATAGGATACATAAGATTTAGTTTTGGAAATGATTCACAACAGGCTATTCATCTAGAAAACATTGCCAATTAATCCCTCTTTTTCTGTTAACTGCAAGTGCAAAGTTGCTAGAGTATTGACTTTCAGTTGACAGAATTTCAACTGATTATCTGACTGAACTGATTCACCTACCTGGCCCAATGGTAGGATTTACCGAATTAAGAAGGCCTTGGAACTATATCCCCGTCCTTATGTGAGGAAAAAAATAAAATGAGGAAGATAGAAATAGTCAAATTACTGAATGGATAAAAAAAATAGAATGGCTAAAAATTGAAGGGTAGGAAGTGAACGGGTAAGACTGAGAGCATAAAGCACAAAAAAAACGTGTCACGAAGTCGCAGACAAAACTATCCTGAAATGGTCAGAAAACTAAAAGTGGTCCGAAGAGTGAGCAGCAAATAGCCGGTAGGGAAAGCGAGGGCGGAGTGAGAGCTCTACATGAGAAGGGGTGGCAGATTGAGTAGGCAGAGAGTGCGCAGGAAGGGGAAACGTTGCAGAACGGGAAGTGGAAACGCCAAGTGTTAAGTGCTATGCCTTACACTTAAGATTTTACACTATGGAGTATGAAGTAGTAGATCGGTTTCTTTAGGAAAATGTGATGCCTGAATGCTTTACTTTTAACCAATGTTTTTAGTTGCTAGTAGTTTGCTAAAAAATTGCTTAATGTTTGATTGTATACTAGGGGGTACGCCCCCTGGCGGCTACATGCCCCAACCCCTTGAAGACGCTCCGCGCCATTGAAGGGCCGCCTTGTGGCCTTCTTTTGGTAGTCGCAGTGTTAATGAGATTCATATTTTCATGATAATATCTGTTTGACAAATCTCAACAAAACTTTCGTGACCAAAAAGCCGAAGCCTAAGTAGTAAGAGCCTAATGGACTAATCAAAATGCAACGTGGGAAAGTTTCAACTAGGAAATTATTATATTACTTGAAGACAGTCGCAATATTTAATAAGATTTATTGCAATTAAGATTAATTAATGAACTGAGCTGCAGTAAAACAATGACAGGTGGTCCAAAGATGATTGTAAAGTGAATCGAGGGGCCAGAATCAAACCCACGCCCTGAAGCATGCTGAAAAGTTATCTGATGCCTCAGACCAATTAACTATCGCCAGAACCGACAGCACGGAGGTGAATCTTGTGTTCATAGAGTAGCGCTGATGCGCAGGCCACTCAGCCACTGCGCAACCTTCTGCGCATTACGGCAGCAGTTGGAGAGCATTCTGTTAATTCACATACTGTTATAACGTGATTGTAAAAAAACCTGGGTCCTTTTTCCAAAATCTGATTAAAGCGGGCTCATCTTGAGACTATCACCTGTCAACAACCGTAAAAATCATGGAAATCTGTCCAGGAGACCGGTCAAACGGACTGAGACAAAATATGAAAATTTACATGGTTTAAAAGAGAGAATTTGCAACTTTACCACGTTCTATACACTGGGTCATACTTCCAAAATCTGAATAGAGCAGACTCATCTGGAGACGATTACCTATTGATAGCCGCAAAAATTATGAAGATTGGCGCCGTAAAACACTAGAACTAAGTAAGCACTACCAGAAATGAAGATTGAGGAGGCTTCAGGGCTTATAGAATAGATATCGAACATGCAAAGCCATACAGGAGTAACGGTAATTTGAAAAGCTTTCCCCTGTGTCTGTATTTTTCTTTTTTCTCTGACACATCCTTTACAACTTCCGCTACCTGGCATATTTCATATGAATGCATTATTTCAGTGTTACAAGTTTTTCGTACGAAATCGAGATCTAAAATTAAAAATTCTACTTCCATCATAACAGTGACCTATGACCACACTGAATGTGAATGAAATTCACCGAAATTTTGGCAAAAATGTTTTACCAGTGGGAAAGTAGCACCAGCTGCCTCGAAGGAACTATAATATTTTAAACTCATTGTTTTCTTGACACATGCTAGGGTGCCACTCTTGATGCTGTGCCTTTCTTGCTGGCGTATGACACTAAAAACTCTGGGAAATGTTGTAATTTATCTAAAAAGGAGTGGGAGGGGGGGGGCTTGGGGATGGAAAAAACCAAAAGAAGAAGCAAACAAGTTGGATTGGAAGTGCATTCAGGCCGATTGCAGACAATTTTTTTTCATTTCGCGCTCTTAAGTACCAACAAATTCAGAAACTTTCCTTTACTCCACATTTTTTTTGGAGTCTTATAATCTTGGTGTCATAAAACACATATCATCGACAGAGATCCTAAGAGAGTGGAAGAAAGCGTCAAACTTACATGATGGAAACTGTTCAGAGTCTGTAAGCATTCGATGGAGGGCTGTAATTTGTACAATTCCAGGTAAAAATACAAGTACTGCTCCTTCAGTTTTTTCATTGTTACAAATATACTGTAGTACATCGAAGATTAGATCAATATTCAATTCTTCTGACTGAGGATCCAAGATTTGTCTCATAACAAAAGGAGAATACTTGTTCGAACACGTGCTCCTGTGAACAATCACATTTTTCTTTCATACAAAATACATTACCTGGTAGATGGGGATGTAGCCAAAGTGCTAAAATATGTGCAAAAAGTAACTTACATAGAAACTGTTTTATTCAATTATAATTTTTGGTCAAAGCTTTTCAGCACAACAGCCATCGTCAGGACCTTCAGAGTTGGAAAACTATACTTAAATACATTTTTAAATGGATAATAACAGCTCTGGTAGGAACTTTGTTGACTTCGTAGGAATGTAAATATGGATGAGATGTTTCTAAGATTAATCACAGACTTCAGCACACCATTTCATATAGTTGATTTGTTGCCAAATCTGTTTCTGTTTGTGCATTTATTAAATTAAAATTCTTTTTGACCGCCTTGACAATTTCAAACTTCTCTAGAACTGAACAATTTTCTATCGTTACATTTGTGTGCAATTTTAACATTGCTGTTGTTAATTATGTGATTTTCATATTTGATACGGCGGTACACATTTGAGGATTTCACGTTTATATGTTCTTTAAAACCATATGTTAGAACACTTCTCTCCCGCGCCGCATTCGACGTGCTTTGCCTCGAAAAAGTAGAAAACAAAGCCAGAAAAAGTAATAATTTTCGTTACCAAGTGAAAAGTAAGTTCCACTTCCTTGCGACCAGTGAAACTAAATATCTCTAAATCATGTCCCTGGTGTGCCTGTGCTTACATGCCCTGTGTAGTATACTTTCAAATAGCCTCCTAGGGTACCTTCAAATCCGAAAATCCAAGATGGCGGCGGCCGCGGTAACATCGCGCATTTCGACCTCCCCGTTAAATCAGTTCATACGATCAGTAAATACCAACATAGTCAATCATTCGGCAAAAAAATCGAAGAATAGTGCTCAAGTTAGTCCAGTAGTGAATAAAAATGACTGTCCGAAGTGTAATCTACGCGTAACAAGGGCGAGAACCTCCGCGGGACCTGGCTGTACTCGATGTGGCCAGTGGTTCCATTTTAAGTGTATCGGGATAAAACCAAACAGTGCGGCAGCAAATAACAAAATCTGGGTCTGCCCCAAGTGCAGTGCCAAACAAAGTTCAACAGAAAACTCTCCAGTCAGGAATCCACCTCGAAAATCTAAGGTAATTTCTCAAACGGAATTTGAGGTTATGTCCATTACATCAAGTGATAAGGAGAACCATTGTAAATGCTGCGATAAGTGCAAAGAGAGAATTAACTTTCTGACCACTAGAGTAAACTGCCTTGAACAAGCTCTCAAGGAACTTAGCTCCTTAGTTAATACTGTGCAGTGTAAGATGGACTCCAAAGCTAACAAAGTTTCGGGCGTTACGACAACCACTTTTGCTGCCGCACTTGACAAAGCCAGGGCATCTACTCTCAACGGTTGTGAAATCGCGTTAGAACCGAAAAACGTAGCCGTAACCAGTAAACTACCCAGCACTGAGGACTCACCCAAATCTAAATCCTCCTCAGCAACACGGTCATCCGTCACTGCTGGAATCTCCCACCAAAAAGTTAGTAACTGCGTCAGCTCAAACAAGGTGAGAACACAAGGCTCAAACTCATCTAAGAACAGCGCTCGAATATCAAGTATAAACTATCCCAGTTCGTCCGGCAGGTCTTTGACAAACGACAGTGCAACCTCTAGCCCTACCTCGAAACAGGCTCAAACTAGAAATGACCCATTGCCATTGACATCAGACGCACATCCCAGAGCAGAGATGGACAACCCCGTTGGCAGCCTTTCAACTAGAAGAAGCCCCCCTCCATCATCTGCATCCAGTCAAGGTGAAACCAGGAACATTTCACCACAGACCTATTCCAGTCAGTGTTCAATCTCTAACATCGAAAGGAATGAACATTTGGGAAATGCACCAAAGAACGTACGGAATCTTCATCTGGACCTTTTCGCGGACAATCACGGATGGGGAATAGGAAGCTTAGTCAAGGACAGTCTAAATGTCAGCATCACCGAAGCAATCAAACCTGGCATGACCTTCAATCAGGTTATTATTGATATAGAGAAAAGTAAGTCCAATAATGTTGTAATCTGGGCAGGAGCGAATGACATTTTCAGAAACAGGGCAATGTACTTTGTGAGATCGCTCTTAGAACTCCAAGCAAGCTCAGAAAAGATAGTGTACCTAGTGAATATTCCAAGGAGATTTGACTTGGCGAGTGATCACTGGGTCAACTCTCTAATTTTTGACACTAACAAAACTCTATATGAATTAGGTAAAATCCACAAAAACTTAGTCGTGGTAAGGGCTGACGATATCAAATACAAATACTATAGTACAGACCTATTGCATCTTAATCAAATTGGCAAACAAATAGTAGCTAGACGGTTAATTAAAAGAATAAGTATGTCAAACCAATTGGAAGGTGACTCCATTAATTTAAACTAGATCCTACTGACGTAACTGCTCAACTAGTAGTTGATAATAGGGAAACTCAAAATGTAAAACTCTCAGTACCCAATAATGTTGACGGGTGCAACAACACAATGATTCTACTGAATGTGCAAAGTCTTTTCAGCGTATATCAAGAGCTACAAGTATTGTTACATAATGTTAAGCCCGTGTATTTCTGTATAACGGAGCACTGGCTCCCCAAAAATTGCAAAATTTTCTTTGAGAATTACAGTATGCTAACATCCTATTACAGAGAGCCAGCCTCAAATGGGGGAACCTATGGCGGTGTTGCCATTTTTGTAAGAAGTGATATAGCTGAATTTTGTGAGGTAGTTAAAATTGATAATTTCTGCCAAGACAAAATCTTCGAAGCTGTTGCCATAAAAAATATAAAGGAAAAAATTACCATTCTAACTGCCTACAGATCAGATGGCAATGTACTAAATTTCACCGACAAACTAGACGATATAATCGCAGGAATGTCAGGCAAAATTATTGTAGCTGGCGACTTTAATATTGACTTTTTAACAAACGAATGTAACAATCTAGAATCCTGTCTGTCATCACACAACCTTGTGAGGCATGTGCATGTACCCACTAGACAAAAAGCTTGTCTAGACAATGTATTGAGTAACGTGGAGTGTATTGAGACTAAGGTAGAAGATGAGGGTAAATACTCCGATCATAGCATGATTATCTTTAAGTTCAGATCAACGGACGGCAACATGGCCTCCGAAGTCCCTCCAATCAAGAGATCATTTAGTAGAAACAACACCTTAAAATTTCAATCTCTAGTAAAATCAGTGAACTGGGCAGAAGTCTTCACCCAGCTCTCAGCAGGCAATGCCTTTAAGATCTTTCATGAAAAATTTTGCAGTTTGTTTAATCAAGCTTTTCCACTAATAAATAGAAAAGCAGTGAAGCATAGACAAAATGAATGGTATAATGAAGAAATTGATCTAGCTAGAACAGTGAAGCATGAGTTGTACATCCAAAGTAAAAATAACTTAGTCAAGAAAAGTGTGTACCTCGACTATTTGCGGGAGTACAAAGCATTGATAGACAGGGCAAAAAGGGAGCACTTTGGCAAATTGATTCACAATGCTTCAAATAAAGGAAAGGCATCTTGGAGATTAGTCAACGAAAATTTAGGAAAGGGGAAGCAAGTGAATACTATAAAAAGTATTGTTGACAAGGGAGTAGAAATAACTGAGGCGACCGGGATTGCAAAAGTGTTTAACAGTCATTTTGTCTCGGCCCCTGTTAATTTAGTTAAGTCTCTGTATAACTCCAGCGCCGCTATATCTTCTTATGTTGATTCCGGAAAGTTACAAAGTAGACATACTTTCATGTCTACTAATGAGAACGAAGTAGTGAAGGCAATCAATGATCTGTCTAGCTCAGGTTCCTCTGGATTTGACGATATTAGCGTTATGACGATCAAGTCAGTGAGTAAGTACGTAGTACCTGTGCTTGTCTTTATCATAAACCTCATTCTTGCTACAGGGGAGTTCCCAGATATCCTCAAAATAGCAAAAGTCATTCCACTCCATAAGAAAGATGACAAGAAACATGTAAGCAACTATCGTCCGATCAGTATACTCTCAAACTTTGGCAAAATCATAGAAAAAATAATCTATTGGAGACTCTGGGAATTTCTCACGCTGCATAATCTCATAAGTAGCTCTCACCATGGGTTTGTCAAAGGGAGATCCACCTGCACAGCTGTAAACAGCATTCTCCGTTACATTTACAGCAATCTCAAAAGAGGAAAATTAACGCTCTGTGTCTTCGTTGACTTGAGCAAAGCCTTCGACATAGTGAATCATGAGTTACTGCGTGCCTCCCTATACGAGTTAGGGGTAAGTGAGACAGCGCTAAATTTGTTGGCCTCCTATTTAGAAAATCGAAAACAGTATGTGCAGATGGATGCCCTTGGGTCTAAAGTCAACTCAAAGCTTGAGTCGGTAGACATAGGTGTGCCGCAAGGTAGCTCTCTGGGGCCACTTTTGTTTCTGATCTATGTAAACGCACTCAAAGAGTATTTTAAAGACCTTGAATTTGTTAAAGTAGTTCAATACGCAGACGACACAAACATCCTTATCTCTGCGGGGAATACTTCGGAGCTTTATGCGAGACTGCAAATTGTAGAGGATCGGCTAAAGAGCTTCGTGGCTAGCAAGAGACTGTGCATCAACACGGATAAAACCCAACTGATGTTGTTCAGTAAAAACTTAGCGGTTGACAGTCATGCTCTATCAGAGATGGGCGTAAAGCTTGTTGACTCAGCGAAATTTCTAGGGATTTTCTTAGACAACAAGCTATCATGGTCTGCCCATACTGAAGCTCTATGCAAAAAATTAGCAACCACATCTTTTCAACTTAAAGTTCTTAGAAGTCTAGTTAGCCAGAAAGTTCTTAAAGATGTATACTATGCACATGCATATTCTCATATTTCATCCTGTATAGCCGAATGGGGTAGTTCTAACAAACTGAATGACATTTTCATCTGGCAGAAAAAGATCATCAGAAGAATCTCTGGTCTAGGCAGAAATGAGTCGTGCCGATCCAAGTTCAAAGAAATGAATCTAC